TAGTAGTAGTAGTAGTAGTAGTAGTAGTAGTAGTAGTAGTAGTAGTAGTAGTAGTAGTAGTAGTAGTAGTAGTAGTATGGAGCATATTCCTGCTTGACAGGAAACTCTATGCGCTGTACACTATAGTATTACTTCAGCAGACCAAAGAACACTCAAAAGCATTCTCGGCTTCCCGGGAAGCAAACAGCACTATTATCTATTATAACATGATACTATAAATAACAGTGACTCACTGGTAGGTCTGAACTCGTTGAAGTGCACCTTGAAGCCGTTGCCTTTGTAAGGGCCCATGCTGGTGAGGCGGAAGATGACGGGGGAGTTGGTGGCCACTCTCTTCTCCTGTCGGCTCTCTCGATGTCTCTGCTCCCACTCCCACGCCTCGGCACACACACGACCACCTGGAAAAACGGTGAAATGGTACAGTGGAAACCATTTATAACAGGGATCCGGTAATAACAGGATAAAACCCCCCCCCCGTCTTTTCTTTCTCTTTACCTCTATTAAATTTTACAGGCAATAACAGGGAGTCATCGGAGCCTAATCGGTTATTACAGGGATACAGGGTTACCAAAAGTATTGCGGCCATGATTTCTTTATCTTCTACAGCCAACATATTGCCTAGATTATGGGTCTGTTTCACAAATGGGATAAATGTTGAAGAGAAGAGGAGTAGGAGGAGGTCGGCGAGTTACCCACGATTGAACAAAGAATCAGTTTACCACCTTGAGAACGCATATTTTGGTCAGTAAACAAAGCATACAGATGCTGTTTTGGGACATAGCTTCGTTACACAAGCAGATGTTTTGACTTTGTTTTCTTTAGATGTATCTGAAACTTTACAAAGCGTGCAACAGCATGCGTGCTGTTGAATATGCAAAACTCTTGTTTATGATTGTGTATGCCGGTTTGAAATGTGTCAAAGTGTTGCCTCTGCTGTGCTGCTTATCGGACGCACGTATCCGCTACGTCCTCAAAGAGTTACAAGAAAAAGTTCACAATAGAACTAGCCCCGCCCAGAGCACAGTCTGTCCCGGCCTGTGGATAACAACGAGCCCACGAATAAAAATAATTGCTGGATTTGTCTATGCCCCTTGCATATTTCTGAGTTTCTGATTAATAGGGATCTGTTATAACAGGGATTTTTCTCTGGTCCCAGGATCCCTGTTATATCAGGTTTCTACTGTATAAGTTTAAAGCTCTTATCAACACTATTAGGCTATTTAAGAGGCAGGGTCTTCAAGTTCAACGTCCGTCTCTGAAAGGCTGAAGACCGAGCCAAGTGGGGAATTCGTGTAAAGTGCCTTTCCCAAGGACACTACGTCGGACCGAGCTGAGGACTGAACTCCCAAACCCGCAATCTCTTGATTACGAGTCTGGTAGCCTAACCACTAGGCTACTGACGCCACCAGCCACCTGATAGATAGATAGATAGATAGATAGATAGATAGATAGATAGATAGATAGATAGATAGATAGATAGATAGATAGATAGAAAGATAGATAGATAGATG